TGCAGGCCCCTTTAGTACCCCTCATTGTGCATTGGTGTTGTACTGGTATTGTGCGCAGGTGCACAGTCCAGTGCCCTCTGCTGCATATGCATGCAAGCCTCCAGATGCAGAAGCAAGCCCACTGCTGTGGTGCTTCATGCCATGCATTTACTCAAAGATGAAGTGTTCAGGAGGGAGAAGAAAGGAGGATGGAGTATCAGGTGGAAACAGTGCTAGTCACCCTGAATTGCTGCAGACCTGACAGAGAGCTGCATCTCCTGGGCAGTATAGAAACTGATGACAACGGGTACCTGAGCACAAGAAACAAGTATGCATCATTTCTACTAGTCCATTGGAATGACAGTTTGCATCTTGTGTGGTGTGCGTGATTAGAGAATGTGGTTCAACTTGCCTGCCTGTTATTTGTCAGTAAGCAGGACCATACCTGTGTGCGTGTGTGTAAGAGTGGTAGGATGAAGGATGTTAAATATAGTCTAAGTGGCACACCAGTTTCTCACTGCTGCGAGTTTTAAATCGTCCATGTATCTCTCAGCTCCATCTATTGCAGGTTTCTCCTAAGCACTGAGCTATGATCTCTTAGTGTTGGTAAATAATATTAACTGTAGGCCAAAATGATATGAAGCATCAAAATCCACTGACAAATGAGAATGAAATGTGAAAGCAAAGAAGCAGAATTCACAAGAGAAAAGAATTCTGTTCACTGTTGTAACTATAGGTGGCATTATATGCTCAGGTAAAAAGTGGAGTTCTCTCCCTCTCTCCCTCTCTGCTAAATCCTGCCCTAATTGATAGTGCACCACTTTAGGAGACTATTTAGTGTATAAAGTATACATATACATATGCATTCATATTCATATATATAGAAGATATACACAGATATTAGAAAGATACAACTGATTCTCAGTTATCAGCTGTACAAAATTCAGAATACCTAGTATTACAGACCCATAGTAGATACTTCCCTTCCCCTCCTCTCCATTACTAAATGTTAGGAATGCACAAATCTTTCTATTTCATTATACTAACATTCACATTTTTTTCAAGCACAATTTAATGGCTTCATTTCTGCAGCAGTTTGCAAATGTTTTAATCTGCAAAGTTTTCCTTTTCTTTTTAATCCCCCATGAAAATTGGCATACATTTACATGAACATTCGTGTACAATTCTGAATGCAGTTTCCACTGCTATGTTCATCTTTCAAGCCATTTCCCCTAATACACAACTTTTTGTATGCCATTACCCTCCCCCTCCCATATGTAATAATCCCTAAATTGTGTGCAGTCTTTTTTGTTTGGAGAACTGCATTGTAAAATTAATGAGATGCATGGAAATTAAGTGGTAGTAGTACCCCAGTTTGTGTATTGGTGTTGTACTGGTATTCTGTATAGGTGCATCTCCTGAGCAGTATAGAAACTGAGGATGATGATGATGATGGGGTGACTCCAACTTCCTTCCCATGCCTAGCATGCCAAGCATGGCTCTTTTTGCACAGTTTGTGAGGGGGCTGGACGGGGCCTCAGCTCTTGCAGGCTTACCTCCAAGGTCACAGGGCCTCAGAGCTGAAAAAAATAGAGAGTAGGGTTGGAAGGGGCTAAGAAGGCCACTGGGTCCAACTCCCTGCTGGTGAAGGATGTCAAGTCACACCAGCCCACTCTGATGACTGTCCAGTTTCGCCTTGATTGTCTCCAGTGTGGGAGAACCCACAACTCTCTTAGCAACTGGTTCCACTATCATAATTCTCTGACAGGTAGGAAGTTTTTCTCAATATCTAGCCTGAATTTGGTGTGCTGCAGTTTAAGTTCATTGCTCCATGCCCTACACTCAAGGATGAGTGAGAAGAGCTCTTTTCCTTCCTCTTTATGAGGAACTTGTAAAGCGCTACCGTATCCCCTTGCAGTCTTCTCTTCTCAAGGCTAAACATGACCAGTTCCTTCGGCTTCTCATCATAGGGCTTAGTTTTCAGACTCTGCGCCATCTTTGCTGCCTTCCTCTGAACCCTTTCTAATTTTTCTGCATCCTTTAAACCTGGGTGCCCAGAATTGAACGCAGCATTCCAGGTGGGGTCTGACTAATGCAGAGTGAAGGGCAACAAGTGCATCTCTTATTCTGGAACTGATGCTTCTTTTATACATCCCAAAATAGCCTTTGCCCTTTGTTGTGGTTGCATCACATTGCTGCTTCATCTTTAGCTTGTTCTCTACAACTCCAAGGTCTTTTTTTTCAGTGCTATTGTGCCAAGTATTCCCCATTTTATACTGATGCACTTCCCCCACCCGCCATGGTGAAGAACTAGGCATCTGCCCCTGTTGAATTTCATTCTGTTGCTTTCTGCCCAGCATTCTAGCCTCTCTAGGTCACCCTGAATCTTCTTTTTGTCTTCCAGGGTGTTAGTCCTTCCACCCAGTCTTGTGTCACCTACATATTTAATTATCATTCCTTGGACTTCCTCATCTAGCTCATTAATAAAGATATTGAAGAACACTGGTCTTGCGCTGAGTTCTATGGCACCCCACTCATCAGCTTTCTCCAACTTGAGAAGGTGCCACTGTTGAGCACTCTCTGTGACTGATTTTGTGGCCAGTTGTGGATCCACCCAATAGCAGTCCTGTCTAGCCCATTTTTGATTATTTGTTTATTAGGATGTTGTGGGGCTCTTTGTCAAATGCTTTGCTAAAGTTAGGTAAATTATGTCAATGGCATTTCTGCTGTCCATTGCCTTCAGTGTCAGGAGACAAGAGAGTGCCCTAGATTGTTTTGCAGTCAAATAGGAACCAAACCATTTTCTCTCCATCCCCATTAGAAATATACTTACACAGGATAATCACTGCTGGACCAGACCAAAAATTATGCCATGATGGCCAATCAGATGCCTCTGGGGTATTTAATTAATTAATTAATTAATATCCTGCCTTTTTCCTACAAAGGGCTCAAGGCAGCTTACATCTCTTCCTCCATCTTATCCCCACAACAACAACCCTGTGAGGTAGGTTGGGCTGAGAGTCTATGACTGGCCCAAAGTCACCCAGTTGGCTCCATGGCTGAGCAGGGACTAGAACCCAGATCGTCTAAGTCCCAGTCCCATGCTCTTAATCACTACACCACACGTATTGATCAGGGTGACATTTATGCCCCAATGTTTCCCTCTTACAAGAAAACCAAAGTGGTGTACATGTTTCTCTTCCTCTCCATTTTATCTTCACATCAATCCTGTGATGTAGGTTAAGTCAAGCATCAGTGATTGGCCTTTATGGTCTAGGTCTCCCAAATCTGAGTCCATCACTCTCGCTATTACAGCATGTTGGCTTTCGCACATCTCTGGTTCTCATATTATCTCTGAACATGAATCTACTGCCCATCAAGTTTGGTGTGAGTGATGATAACTTCTGCTCCCCATCTTTAGAGCCTTTCTCCCTGGCATCCATCTGGCTCCTTCTATTGGTATGATTAATCACCTGATAAAAACTCTTCAATTTGTAGATCTCCCTTTTTTACTTTCCTCTCTATTTTCCTATCTGTGCATGTTCTTCTCATTTTATGTGCAGGTCCTCATTCTAATAGGCAATCTAGAATTGATGTTGTTGGCATCCTTATTGCTATTATTACATATTTATGGCACTTTTACCCATGTGTTTAGAATGTTTCACATTGTGCAATACTACTTCAGTCTGTTTACTTACCCCATATATATTCACCAATCAAAGATTAACTAATTTCCTTGTTACATTGGTCACTTTGGCTTTGTTACTACTTTGGAACAAGTTCATGTATGTCTATAACCTTGAATCATTTTTGTTTGCCAGCAATTTCCCTTCCCAGTAACCTTGATTTGACTTGCACAGGCTGTTGCAGCAGGGCTCCCACTGAAATGACTGGATTTTCATTCTCCGCTCCCCTTCATTTCTATAATGAAAAAGAATGTTAGGATATATGGGAGTTTCATCTCAGTTCACAAATCACTGTAAACTGCCCCATTCTCAAACCTAAACAGAAACAGGAGCTCTTGATCTCCGAAAGTGTTTGGCCAGTTCCCAAGCCTGTATTTATATTCACAAAATGTGCAGTTTAAAAATGGACAACTTTTGAAAAATGCACACATTTTCCCATTCAAATGCACTGAAAAACAGGTTGCAAATGAGAACTGGAGCAAGCCAAAATGTGCGTTGAAGTAAAGTTTGGAGAATTTCTGTAAACTCACACTTCCCTGGTTCTAGCATCCTAAAAGGATTGAACAATTGGAATGCCTCTTTTCCTCTGCAGAAGCAACATGTGAGGACAAGTGCTTCAGCCCTGTTCCCCATTGCTGCCACATCCACCCCCCTCCATGTGAACAGCAAAACCTCCTCTTTCTGCGGAGGCTCTCCCCACTACCAACAACCGTCATTTTCCAGAAGACTGGCTGAACAGGTGTATGGAAGGCCAGGCAAAATGTTCTGCTATTCGCACATACCAGACCGATGAGTGATTGGCTTGTTGACCTCTGTGAGAGCAGTTCTGGATCCAGTTTGGATCAGGAACATGGCAATTTAAGAAAGCAGGACTGAGGCTGAGGCTTTTAATTGAAACTCCATCCCCATGGAAGTGGAAAGAACAAACAAAATTTACATTGGAGGGGGAGGGGATCCAGGGGAGGGTTTCTTCTGTTTTAAGTTCCTCACATGGGGTGGTCGTTGGAGGAAGGAAGCTTAAGTTCTCCCTCTTGAATCTATCACCCTGCTATGCATGGTTAAGAGAATGCTTGATGCGGTCCAGCAGAATCTAGAGAAAATAATCTAGAGGCACATAAACCTGTACAGTAGGAATCCTTCTCTTCATTGTTCAGGCAGTGGGTGAAGTCAATAGTTTGTGTTGGACCATCCAAAGGGATTATCCATGATATGGAATTTGGATTGGAGATAGCCCAGATCACAGCTAACATTCTTAACTACTTTTTTACAATTCAAAAGAAAAAAGTCCGATGAGAAAAGATTTTGCTGATGGTGGCATCATTCTCCGGCTTGCAGACCCTGCCAAAGATTTTGGATAAAGTGGCTCCCGCATTCCTCCTGAGCAGCTGCAGCTTTCTGGTGGAGAAGTCGCGTGCCTCGACAGCCCGGGTGGTGGTCTGGCAGGAAATGGGCGTGCTGAGGAGCTACACCATGGAAAGCACCTATTGTGGTTGCAGCCACGGTCTCTACAAGGTACGCCAGTGCTTTCTGAGCAAGTGCTGCTTACATAGTCATTACAATATATGTTGCATTCTCTTGAGAAGTTATTCTCTTGCAGAGTTCTCATTTGTATATGCTTCAGGGTGACTGGCCCAGCCTCAGGAGTAGGCAGGATTGAACCTCAAGGACACAGACCTCATCAGGGCCCCTGGCAAGAGCAACCTGAACTTGCTGCTGCTCCTTCCTGTTGTTCCTCCTTGTTCTCCTGCTCCTTGCTCTGGCCCAGATGATGGTGGGGGTGGTGTGAAAAGTGGTGGATGCCCCCCCCCACAGCTCCTTGGTTCTTTGCCTTTCAAGCAAAGAGAGCCAGTGTGGTGTAGTGGTTAAGAGCATGAGACTGGGACTCAAGCGATCTGGGTTCTAGTCCCCGCTCAGCCATGGAGCCAACTGGATGACTTTGGGCCAGTCACAGACTCCCAGCCCAGCCTCCCTCACAGGGTTGTTGTTGTGGGGATAAGATGGTGGAGGAAAATGATGTAAGCTGCCTTGAGCCCTTTGTAGGAAAAAGGCAGGATATAAATCGGGGGGAAAAAAGCAAGCTGGTAGAAGCAATGATGAGAAAGAGGAGGTTGAGGAAAAAGAGGGGAAATACTAGCTGGTGGCAAAGGTTGTACCCGGAGTTGACACTGACTCTGGGTGTTCTGATTATTTTCTTAACCATTTAAAGACCACATTTTGGCACCAACTCCCTCAGAAGGTATATATGATACTATTTCAAAACAAAACACCACCAAGCAAGTAAGCAAGCAAACAAAAACCCAACCCAACCCAACCCAACCCAAAACAAAACAAAACACCCACAGCAAGAAGCCACAACAGCGGAAGAACAGAAAAAGCTAGCTGTTGTGCCTCATACCTCATACCATATTCTAAGGCAGTTGGAGAGAGGGATGGTTTAACCTGGCATCCTGCCCTGAGTCAGAGGCTGGACTAGAGGTCTGCCTTGGCCCCTTCCAACTCTACTATTCTATTATTCTATCCCATTGCAAGTAGCCTCAGATGTGTAGGAAGGGAAGGAAGATGTGCAACACACCACAACATGTTTCTGCTCTTAAGCATTGACCCTCTATGGTGTGCAACTCCATGTTTCTAGCCATATCTAGCCCTGCCTTAGGTTTCTCAAAAGTGTCCAGTGAATGCCTTTCAGTAAATAACATAACAAGAGTTGTGTCCAGTGTTCAAGTAATTTCTGTATAAAGGGAAGGTGGATTGAAATAGTCCTTGATGCTCGTTCTCCCCAACTGATGACAGCACTCTGCTGCACAGACCATCAAATTAGCCTAGAAATGTCACTAAAGGCAAACAGTCGCTGCAGTGCCTTCACTGGAAGAGGACAAAAAACAGTATAGAATTCACCAGCCAGGGACACTGAGCAAACACTTCCATTACTTACTGCACTGGCCCTTTCATTCAGTCCTTCCCCTTTGTGGACATTTTTATTCTCCCCCTCCCCTTCTTCAACACAAAAGTACATAAAAAACTGTTGCTTAATTCACAAAATCCAGACTTATATCGTGACTCAACTCTCATAGGATTGGAAGATGCTGAGAAACTCAACCTGCTTGCTCTGGGTGGGCTTTCTGAACCTTGGCAACTTGAGAGATGAAAATGGGCTGAATCGGTTTCCTCTCCACCCAGATTCCACTTTTGAAGCAGGCCATGATTTAAATATTTTGTTCTTAAGGTCAGAGAAATTTGCACAAATGGTGGCCAGAATGTATGCAAATTGCAGCTGGAATTTCAGCCAGTTGTGGCCAGAATGTATGCAAATTTCCCTGGCCTTAAACAGAACAACACAAACTGCAGCTTAAAAGTGGAAGCTCATGTGCTAGTTCTTCTTAGAACAGAAGAAGTAGGTACCAGCACTGCATCAACAGAGCCGAATTTGGGGGATACTGATTCTTCACACTTCTTTGGCATTCATGTTGATAGTTAAAGAGAAATGACTAGAGATGTTCTGAAACTTTTCAATTTCTCATGCAAGAATTGTCCAAATGGTATTCTTCTTCTGCAGTAATAATATCACCATAATGTAAATAGTTCAAAATCTGATGCAGTTGAATGGCACTGCAAATTCTTCTGCTGGAGTTGAGCTTCCAGTCTCCTGGGGACGAGGAGACTTGAAGAGCGGGATGTTTGAGGAATTCATCTAGGGGTGAGATTCCAGCAGATACCCTGGGCATGGCTCCGTGGACTGGATTTTGTTTGCAGTGGCCCTGAGTCTGTGTTGCTGATGAGCACCTGCCCACCCACACACATTTTGGGACATTGTGCAGGTATCAGGCCCCATGTGCTGTGCTGCTAGTTGGGTGTCTGCACCGGCCTAGCTGGCCAAGAAGGGCTTACCGGGAATGACACCATGCACAGACACTAGCCACGCTTCTTACCCATGCAGCTCCTGACACAAGATAAGGGTGCCAGTTGCACAACTAGCACTGTATGAGTATTTGTGAACTTCCTCTTTGCTCAGCTCCCTTCAGAAGACTGGGTTGAGCAGAAGAGGAGCCCAGGAACACTTGGAGGGGTGGATTCCCACAGGGCTCATCCCCAGCTTCCTGAAAGACCCTTGTGCAAAGATCTTGTGCAAAGGAAAAGAAGAAGCAGAGCCAAAGAATAGATGCTGCATTAACAAGGAGCACTTGTAATTTAATTAAACCAAAGCTCTAACCTTCAGAAGGGCAAACATTAGTCCCTGCAAACATATTCCATTCATTCCTCTGATTAAATTACACATGCTTCAACCACAAGTATAAATTACACAGACCTCTTACTACAAGTATAAATAGAGCATAATGATGGTGAACAGTTTGTTCAGTTTGCTTTCAGCTGAGAAAGAACCCAAATTTGCACATTTCTTGTGAAACAGGATGGAAACAACTTGAGCATTAACAAAATTCAAATGCGGAAGAAAGCAAACACTGACAGATTTATCCAGCCAGGCAGAGGGCAGAGTGAGTGAGTTCCTAAATGTCTGGCTTTAATTCCCTGTGTGTACAGCTACACCCCGGCTCTGGGTTAGGACCACCACCATTTCTGACAAGCTTCTCATCTTTAGGGCTGTGCAAATATACAAAGCTTGTTGAGATTCTCCAAATTCCATCTTGAAGCTCATTCCAGTTGGGGGGCTATGTGAGCTTTCTTTTTCCTTTTACATCCATAGAAATGTATACATTCATCTCCCATTGATTGAAGTATAATAATAGCCCCATTATTGCATTTTTATTTTATTTTATTTACTTTTTGCACTCTTTGATATGTTCCATATTAACTTTTAGGTATTCTTAGCTGTGGTGGAATGGGAGCACTGAGAAATTTATGCTGTTTGCATTTCAAATTGAACTTACCAAAGTTGCACATGAACTGGAAAGCAGTTAGAATCTGAAATCTATATTTTCCTGAAGCTTGTGGAAAGAGAAAGAGAGAAAGGCAGGCAGGCAGGTAGGCAGATCCCCAAAATGTGATCATTTGAACATGTGTCCATGAAAATATCCAAATTTGAAACAATGTATGCAGAAAAGCATATATTTGGGGAAATGTGCACAAACCTGTTAATTCATTGGACAAATGCTGATAAAATGCATGCAAATGTGTCCAAAATGTGTTTAAATGAGTGTATTTTGAAAAATATATGCCAAAATACGTGTCAACTTTTCAATGGACTATTTTTGCCTTCTCCAGTTAGATGCTGAAATGGGATGAAATGAATGTAGGTGTTAAAAAATGGAAATGTGCCTGAAATTGAGCATGACATTTTCTCCTATCCTTTAGCAGGTAACTCAGTTATCATCCAATAGAGAAAATACTCTAGAGTAGTTTTGTTTCCTGAACCTCAGCAGATCTGAACCTGGTCAGTAGTTGGATGGGGAATTGCTTGGGAATCCGAGAGGATGCTTGGGGTTATCTGGAGATGGAGAACACTAGGAGTAGGGATTTGCAGTCCTGGGAATTCTCTTTCATTCAGACCTGATAGAATTCCACAACATTTCTGTTCTGACAAGTGGTGGCAACTGACTGTACTGGATTTTTTTCCTTTCCTGGAAAACTGGAATATTTTGTGTATATTTTCAGTGTTCCACCGGTGTTGCCTAAATTGACACACACACACACACACACACACACGGAGAGGGAGAGGGAGAGGGAGAGGGAGAGGGAGAGAGAATGAGAATGAGAATGAGAATGTTGGTGTTGTCCAAATGCACACCTACTCACTTAGGGGGATACAAATTAATATCTTCCCCGGTCAATGTCCTGTAAACTGTCTACTGTCAAAGTACATTAGACACCAACAATGAACACTGATGAAGAGAGGCTGCAAATAACTTAATCTGTCACTTTGCACTCACGTAATAGCTGACAAACTGTCAAGTGGAAGCAAAATGGCAAGATGATCTTTCCTTGGGAAATGTGTAGCACAATATATCATCCTCTTTGTGGGGAGCTCCTCTAATACTTTTGTTTGCACCTGACAGTACTTAGCATCCTGCATCCTTTTTCCCATTTCCCAAGAATTCACTTCTCAGGAAGATGCAAAGTGCAACCCATTCCATTTGTAGGAGCACGTAGTTTTGGAATTTCTGTTCTGCAGGGGGGCATCTGCATCTGCCTGATTAACTGTATCCAAAGCCCCATCATAAAAGGAAGCCTGCACTTTGCCAGCCAGCTGTTGAAATTCTGTTTCCATAAATGCAGCACTTGCGAAAGCCTTTGTATAGGGCAGAGCAGCCATTTGTGGAAATCACAGTTTGTGCACATTTCAGACCCTTCCCCCACCAGATTGCAGAAATCGTCACCAAGGAAAGGAGCAAACAAACCATAGATCTAAAAATTGTCTCAACTTGGTATAAACAGAGTTGAAGCCAGTGAGAGTGGTGAAGGCAGCAGGGTATGAGATCCAGATAGCTGAATTAGAAAAATCTGCTGGGTTTTCACCCATGATGCAGAATTTGCAAACATCCTTAGCTGGGATACCATTT